AGGCAGTGCAAAATTTTCTATCACACCCAAACATGTTTCAGTGTTCAGGGCAGGGAAGGTGGCAGTATTCAATTCTTGTCCTTAGGACTTTATTGTGGTTGCTGAAACTGCTGGGACCATGCAGCCTCTCTGTCAATCCATCTTTCTGTCCTCTCCTTATACACAGAATTCCTCCAGTTTCAGACAAATCCAGAGAAGGATAGAAGTCTCAGATTACCTTCTGCAAAATGGGATAAAAATCAGTGGCTGAGCAGATAAGAGCTGCTCAAGTGAACACACTCGAGAAGAGAAAGGAAGGAGATTCCTTCTTTCCCTTTTTCTTCAGCTGTGTCTGAAGGGCAGCTCCAAATTAGCTGCAAAATCATGGCTCTGTGGCCTGTTTGGGGTAGCACAGATCTCAGAGAGGTGATAGGGTGCAGCCTGCTGCCAGGAGCCACCACAGGGAAGCAACTTCATTTCGTCTGTAGGAAAAGCTGCCTGTATTAAATATTTGTGCCGCTTTATTTGCTCTTGCACACACATGGCTTAGCTGGAGAGTAAACAGCAGATTTGGTGAGCAACAGAGGCAAGGAAACCATGTTTGTATACCTTGAGATTGAGCTGCCAGGTGGAGTCTGATGAGTAATAAAGGCTGAGTTCATGCCATGTTCTGTTCCTCAGCAGGAGCAACGAAGGTCTACCCTCCCTCCTCAGCTATGTGTGTCCATGGAGTGTGTAAGGATGTATTATTTTGTGTCAGCCATCTTCTGTCAGTTTGGTTAACACTGGCTTTAAAAGTAGTTAAAACTGACTTAAAATCCACTCAAGTGCCTTAGGGCAGGGGATCAGATGAATACAGAGACACCTGCAACCTGTGGCTACATTGTCTTTTTTCTTTAGGAAATGGAGTTATCCTTAGGAAAAAAGAATAAATGTATGCTTTCACAGGATAATAAACAGCTAATTGTCCACAACTGACAAAGTCACCTCTTGCATGTGACCGTTACGGCAGTGCCAGCTGCAATGTCAAACTAGAGGGGAAAGTGTTTTGTTTTGTTTCTTTGTTGGTTTGTTTTCTCTCTCTCCAAAAAGCCTACCTTGCTTGGAATGGAGACTGGCTGTTCTTTGATTGCTGATGAAATCAAAGATGCTGTGCGTGGGTGGGGGAACACATTGTCAGACTACAGCTTAGCTTCACAGAGTGGTTTTGCGTGGATTTATATCCTAGGGAACCAACATCTTTCTGTGCCATACTCTGCATGTTTTATCATCATAATTAATATTCCTTTCTGCCATCTTTCATGCCTTTGGTTCAAAGTGGTGGAGAGTACTAACATGTTCTGGAAACAAAGAAGGAGGTGAAAAACCTCTCTCTCCAGATATTGCAGATTCACCTGCCTGTTAGGACCAAGTGTATTTCCTATAACAGATGCTACTGAGCACAAAATTTCCATTGTATGTAACTGACTGTGTTCATGTAGCATCCCTGCAAAGCAAGCAGGGGCATCACTGCATTGCTGGAATTGGAATATTAATGTAATTGGACTTTTGCAAAGTCATTTAATTTGTAGTGCTAGTAGTCTGACCTCATCCAATTAGCATCCAGACCAAACAGCTATTGTCCAAGTCAGGCACACAGTCCACTTATTATGAAGAGATTTTATCTATCTAGGCAAAAGAAATGGGAAACAGCAAGATAAAGAGTTAAGTCAACAGAGAAACAACATAAAAATGTATCCAATATATTCACTCATTTAATGAAAGATCCCAAAGACAAAGGAGGTACAGTTTTTCTGAGATAGGAAAACAGAGTCATAGTGATGTGGAGAGGCTGTGGGCTTTTCCAGAAGCTCCAGGCAATGAGGGAAACTCCTGAATGCTGGGGATGTCCCTAGCAGACAAATTGCTCTTCTTTCACAGTGAGCATAGCAAGGGTCAGGGCAGGGAGAAGAATGACCCAGCTAGGGAACATCCCATTGTGGATAAATAGAGGTATTGAAACACCAGGAAGAAGGAGGAGGCAGGCTTCCAAGAAGTGGCTTTTGAGGAAGAAGGAAGTCATTTGGTACACCTGACAAAGGAATTTGTTCAGAAGCAGAACTGTGCTTGTTCTTGGTCCTGTGTCCTAGTGGTTTTCTACTGCCCTTCTTTCCGTGAAACGGCTCCCCTCGGGTGGGCAGCTCAAAGAGCCCATGGAAAGGGCAGATAAAACGTGGCAGTGCCTCAGTTTCCCTGCCCAAAACAACAGGTTTGGACAGCAAACAATCCCTTTGCATTGTGTTAACTCTTTGTGAAAGAACTTTGTTCTAGTTTGATCTTGACACTTTTCAGCTCCTCTGCTGTAAAGGCGAAGCTTCCCAGGGAGTTTTGCTTGTTTAGGCATAACACCATTCATGGAAGCACTGTGTAGAAGATGTTACTAGAGATTCAAATTTTCCCCATGTTTTAGCTGCAGAACTTCAGCCTGAGCAGTAAAATAGCATTATAGACAGAGGGGAGAGACCTGTGCACCCGGACGTGCTGTTGAGGCACATGGACCCAGGAAAGCAGACTGGTTGGTGGCCTTTGGGCAGCTCCTTTGTGGCATGTCCTCTCCTGGTGCAGTGCATTCCCCTCAGTGACACCATCCTTCAACCCAAAGTAGTTGTGGGCAGGGGGGGTGCAGATAGGCTGACGATGGACTGCCACTCCCACTGTAGCCAGAGGGATTGGGAACCATCTCCTGCTGCCGATGGGCTCAGCACCCTTGGTCAGAATGACCATCCCCACCCTGCTGTCCCCTCGCAGGGTGCTCACAGCTGTCTGCTCCCCAAGGCTATGGCCTGCTTTGCCTTCACACGCTGGTTGTCCTGGTTTGTGAGCGAGGGGAAGGTTGGACAGAGGGGCCCCCTGGGTGGTTGGTGCTGCAGTGCTCGGGTGGGCAGTGACCTGAGGGCACTCTCATCTCAGGGAGTGTCTGCCACGGCCTTGATTGAGTGGATCCAGTGGTCCATAGGGTAAGAGATGCTCCTAGCTTCAGGAAGTCTGTCCATCTCTGTGCATTCACTCCTTGCTTTCCTCAGGCTCATATTGTATTCCCTTGAAAGAAGCTTTCTGGGAAAACACAGCAATTCCCACACATCATGTTGCCACAGTTTAGGGCGCGATCTGCAGCTGTTGTGTGTTCAAAATCTATATACTGCAGAGAATATTGCCTTCAGGGCTGGCACTTTGACATCCAGTTTCCTTCTACAGAGAAGTCTAGGGAAATGTTTTCTGTTAGAGTCAGGCTTGTTGGAAAAATGCTGATGAAGTGAAACATAAACACATTGTGTTGGAGTTTTCATGGGAAAATATTGCTGAAGGGTTTCAACATGACTGGAATACATCTCTGCAGTACTGACCCCCTCACTCCATCTTGTATTCATACACTGTGCAGCTATAACATTCTAAACAAAACTTTTTAACTTCAGCCGATTAAAAATTAAGGTCAAAATGGAATGTGTGTAAAGTCTCTCAATTTTTAACTTTTTTCACAACCTGGGAAAACACTGAGTTTTGCAACCTCAGTATTTCCTACTGGCAACAGCTCAAATGTATGACCACTGCTGGAATTTCTGTTTGCTCTTCCAAATGAAATGTATTTATTTCCTCCTCCCTATTGTTACTAATGAATCAAATGGCTCTGTGATAACATGCTGATGGAATTAAGCACAGAGTAAAAGAGCAAGAACAACATAACATTTACTTGGTTTCCAAGTAGGAAACCAGTGGAATTTTACTGTCATGAAAATTTAGAAAATCTTGGAAGAAACTGCAGGCGTTAAACCCAGAAATATGATATCACATATTTGGAATAATCTAGATGCTGTGTGGAAAAATTACTCCTTAAATTCATACCCTGAAAATAATTTTTGCATATTATATAGTTTTGAATAAATACAGCTTGTAATGACTAATACAAACTGTCCTCAGCTGATGAAAATCCTCAAGTTCTCAATTTAATTTTTGTAATAATGGAATGGAGAATTAAACCCAGTTTGTAACTCTCTAGCAAGGGGAGAGTGGTAAGGACAGCATTTCAGCTTCCCTCCGAGTGCACTGCCTTTCTCACAGCAGTGCAGAGACTTTAAAAAAATCTATTTTAAACACGAGTTCCTGGAGTTCAAGCATACTTTCTGTGTAGGAATTTGTCCTGAGGTTTATGGTCAGACATTTTAGCAGCCAAGCAGACATACATCTCCTTTTTCTTCACTCTGGGCATTGGCTGGTGAACAGACCTATATGTGTGCATTTCACGTATGGACACACACACATTTATGGTGGATTGCTGCAAGGTTATGCCATTTATATCTGTGTGTGTATAAAAATATAAAACAATATATAATTGTTGCTGGAATATTGCACATTCCAGGAGGCTGAGATCACTCTTGTCTCCTCTGAATAGTGCTGTTAAAACATGGAAACCAATCCCCTTTCTCTGGGGCTTTACATCCCTGTTGGCTACCATGAGGCTTGCTGGGAGGTGGGGAAAAAATTGGCTTCAAACCCAGAAGTGATCTCTCTGCCAAAGAAAAGCTCAGGTGCAGCCTGGGCACGTGGGGTGGGTGGAAAAGGATGTGTTCTTCATAGAAACTATTAATAATCAACTCCCTTACACTGATAGGATTGTCATCGAAATAACTGGCAGCGCAGGGATGTTTTAGTCATTTAGAAAATTCCAAAAATTCCACTGGCTTTCCCCTAGTGCTTGTGGTTAGATTATGTATGAGGTTTTTGGCATTATTTTCCTAGAAGAGAGAGGGATTACATAAGAGGGCTGGCAGCCTATAAAAATGTCCTCACTTGGCACGGACAGGAACCAGGTTAGACTTCTTCAAAGACAGCTGAAGCCTGTAGCTGCACAGGAAAAAAATAAATCGGAAGAAGAGAGAACTTTTCTGGGAGACGGATGCTAAGATCACCTTGCATAGAAGTGTTTCTAATGCTTTCTTCTGACAGTATTCCCATTTGGACAGAAAGCCTCTGAATCTGCTTGGATCATGAGGAAGACAAAGCATTCCTGGGCAGCCGTGGCGGGAAGAGGCAACAAGGGGGAGAAAACAGCTGAGGAAAATGCAAGAATACTGCCCAAGGCCACATATGAGGAGAGAAAGAAGCAGGAGGCAAAGAGGAAAGGGACACTGAAAACCTTGGCAGGCAAATTGCTAAAGACTGTGGTTGGTGGGAAGGAGACAATGAAGAAGGCTGGCGGTGAGGATGTGGCAGGGAGTTTGCTAAAGATACCAACCAGTAGGAAGGGAGCAGAGAGAGGGACACCTGCAGGTAACCTTGAAGTTATCTTTGGGTCCAGGCCTGGATCTTGTCTGCCTCACTCAGCCCTGCAAGCTCTTGTTTTCATCAGCTTTACACTCTCCTCCTTCCCGTCCTTCTCCTGAATTCTCATCCTTTCTGAACTGTACTCTTGCTCCTCTGGAGAGCTGTGTATTTCACTTTGCCTCACAAGTGTTTCTCTTTATTGTTCTCATTTTTATCCCTGCAAAGACTCCTGATATGTCTTGTGAGAAAGATGATGTATGTGTGAGTGACACCCTGTTGGTGTGACTGTGCTGTTCTTCCACAGATGGGAGGGGCAGATGGGTTGTACATGGGCTAGTTGTGCCAATTAAGCATTTCCTATGTGTTGCATGTATCAAGGTAGGCCCAGTGCAGCTTGTAGACCGCTCCTGAACAGCTTGGGCATTGCTTTGTTGAAGATCCTTGCATCAACCCTTCTCCAGTTCCTTTCATGTTCCTCCCTTTAATCCTGTTTGGTTTAATTCTTACTACATATATGAGATTTTTTTCATAGAGGAAAGTTAGGATTCAGGTGGAAGATAATGGAAGCTCATACTTTTTCATTCTTCACTCTACACCCAAAGCTGTATCCTGAATTATTTCAGAGTCCCACTACTTCTGGCTTTGTTTAAAGTTCCCTGAATCTCATCGAGTTTGATTTTTCCTCTGAACTCTGCTCCAGGTACCTTTGGACAAATATTTTCAACTCTTTGTTGCTCAATTTTGTCATCTGTAAAATGCACAGTAAAAAACCTGCAGCTCTGTGCAGCTGTTGTGAGATTACATCTAACCCTTGTTGGTGGGCTAGATGTGATGGGTAAGACATTTTAAAAACAAGCAATAGTGAAAAACTTCTCCTTCCAGCTTCTGAACTTCAAAGATTTCATAATGCCTTGATGGGGTGTCTGGTGATTAGGGCAGTGGCTCTGTCACCACAGCTTCTTGCAGATGTGGAGGTCATGGGCTGTTATGGGAATCCCCTTCTAAGTTTCACTTTTGGGCAAAATAACACGCCTAATCATTTGGCCTAGTTAAAATACCCTGATAAAGAGAGGGCCCTGGACTGCACTGAGCAGTCTCAGCCTAAGGCAAGAGCTTGCTGGCAGGAGTGACACCTTCTGTGTAGCTATGTCAGGCTTGAGCAGGTGAGAGGGACCTTCCAAGGGAGCTTGCAGCGCTTTGGTCCTGCCAAGGTTTTCTGTAGAGGAAACAGAGGATTCCTTCTAGGCTTGACTTTCAGCTGTTGACTTGTTCAGAAGATGTCCTTTCTTTAATGCTTTTCTTTTGGACAGAAGGTGCATTCCTTAAGGAAAGATTGCCATTAATGAACCTGCATAGCCCACATGAAGAGGTCTCTGGGATGATGACCAGAAAACTGCAGATTAGTCTGCAGGCTTGGTTAGCCTGGAGGAGAAGGGATGAAAGAGAGAAAGAGGGAAAAAAGTGCTTGTCTTGAGGAAACTGAGAGGTACTAGTGCTAGACCTTAAGTGAGCTTATCTTAAATACATATGTATAAACTACATACTTCATAACTTGGATATTAAAGCGATGAGTCCTATAGACGAGCGAAGAAACAGCAAATTGTGTTCTTTCTCTGTTGCAGAGGAAACCATCTGCATATGCATTGAGCAAGGAAAATTTTTGGAAGCTTGTGATCATATTTATAATCTGAAGCATTCTGGAAATGATGGTGTGCGAAAATCTGAATCACTTTATGCGCTGCTGGCTGAACGAATGTGGACTGTGGTGGAAGAAGTGCTCAGTGGAAGTGGTAGGATGTTCCTGGAGCCATTGCAGTCAGTGGGGGAGTCACTGAAGTGGGAGAAGCAGAAGGAAGCAGACTGGCTTGGCAACAGCCAAGGAATGGATTCTGTTTCCACCTGGAGTCCAAACTTCTGGAGGAAAGATCTGGAGGAAAAGCTGATACAGTACGTGACAGCCCAGATTCCCCTGTTTGGTTCCCCTGCTAACACAGATGATACTGCACTAAAACAGCATCTGAGTCATCTAGAAACGACATTTCTCCCCAGCCTGGAACACAGAAGTGACATCTTCAAGGAAGCAGGACTGCTTGTCACCTATGCCCGCTGCTGTCGTACCTCTTTGTGTTCTCACCTTTCCACACTTACTGACAGTAACCATTTCAGCTTCAGCCAATGTCTTTTAATTTATGAATGGGGCCTTAAAATATACAAAAGGTACGTCTGAAGGACTTTTTCTCTACATTTTTTTTATGTCTCTATTTTTCAGTTCTGAGCACAATCTCCGCTTCCTGATAGCACAGCGATGCTCAGGGCTCTTGCTGAGTTTAGGCTTGCCCACTGCCTCTTTTATCTTCTGTGCTCTCAGAATCAGAGCCTTTTTTCGTTGCAGTACTGCCTTTTTCTAAATCCTTAGTAGCAGGCTCAGGGGCTTACCTGAGGCAGGCAGGTATTTCTCCACTGGACTCCTGTTAGACCTGCACAGTTTTCTGCTTTAGTGAACAATTTCTTTCCTCGCATTAAGCCTTTTTTAGCAAGGTCCATAATACTTCAATTACTCCAGCCTTTCTGTCAGCAAGGTGCTCTCTGGGCTTCTCTTGTCGTGTCCTTGGTTCTTATGCTGCTTTATCTGGCTTGTAGTTTGCTCAGTTGTTTCTATGCTTCCTGCATTAGTGTTCATATCACAGGAAAAGCATATAGCAGATCATTAAATTTCTGCCCAACTTTGGGAAAACAGATGTGGTTTTCCCTGTGATCTGAAGAGCAGCACATCTGGGACCTTTTGGCCCAACGTGAATTCAAAGCCTGTGGGTGCCATCAAAGCCTGAAGCTTTCTTGTGATTTCTTTTTGTGTGGTAGAGGTGGTGTTTGATTCTCTGTGTCCATGGTTTCGTTGCTACTTGACAATTCCAATCTACTCATGCCCTAATAGTTTTCAGCCCTTTGGGGTTATTTGATTGCTTCCATCCAAGCCTACAGCTTCTCTGATCCTTGTATTAATTACACTTATAAACCCTTGATTAGCTCATCAGCAGTTCATCAGGTGGGCTCTTCCCACACCCAGCTCCCAAAGGAGGGAAACAGTGTGTGGGTACACATTGACCATAGTCAGACACATGGGAGAAGGGGTTAGGATGCATCCCTTTGACTGACACTTTTGAAATGGTAAAGCTTTAGAGTAATGTATTGATAAAAGTATTGAAAACTTACATGAAATTGGAGGTGAAAAATTACGTAATTTAAATATATAAAGAAAATACAAACATATAACATATAAAGAAAAGTCAAATATAGGAAAAATGTATTATGTAAATGCTGAATTCCTTCAAAAAAACAAACCAACCAAGCAAGAGCAGCACATGACTGTATTAGTCATGAGGTAGTGAAGAAAGTGGAAATGAGAAGAGCACAGATGCCAGCCTTAACTATTTGAATTTTACTCTCTGAATACTGTTATAACCTCAGTGAAAGCTCATGCATAAATGCAGTTGTCCTGGTATATAGCTGCTTTTTATTCCACTTAGACAGAATATATGACACTTGTAAAATTGTGCATTTGTGCAAGTGTGCTTGGGTGACTCTACCTAAGCCTGGAAAGGAATTCAGCAGCAGCAATGAGGGAAAGGGAGAAGGAAACAACAAAAAAAAGTGTAATTTGGGCAGCAAATATGGGAAGAAGGAAAAGAAACAGCATAGAAGAATAGCTGGCGAAAGGACATGATAAAGATCATCTACATGCTGTGACTGCCCAAACATGGCAAATACAACTGGGTTCTTGCAGGGCACCCTGTTTTCTTACTATGAGACTGTGGTGCCAAGCAGGAGTTGCCAGGCAGGCAATGGGCTGTGGGCCATGGGAAGCTGCCCCTCTGGCTGAGCTCTTGTTTCTGTATGCAGTGGCAGCAAGGCATGTCTGAGACCCAGCCAGATCCCCCAGCACAACCTTTCCCTTGATGGACAGTATCTCGTGTGGATTATTTTGAAGACTGAGGAAAAGTTACTTGCAGTCACACGGGTAAGAACTCAAGGGTTTTACCCCAGTCTGCCTGTTCTATTCCTGTGGTTTTAATTGCCCTTATTAAATTAGCTGCTCCCTTGCAAGCTGAGCCAGCTCTGCTTAGCTGTGAGTAAGCCCCAAGGTCTTGACCAAGTTTCATTGCAGATGTGAAGATCCACGATTGTCTGCTGCCAAAGGGATGCAACCATGTACTTGTTCCTTAGCAGGGAAAAGGTCGGGACATTTGCAAATCTCTCTTAACCCATTGCTGCACCTCCATAGAGCTGCAATCTGCTCTGCTTAGAAGCCCATGAATCTGGAGGAAAGGAAGCCCATGGGTGAAACCCACTTCCTTATTGAGAGCCATTTCAAGGTGCTGTTAATCTTCTATTACTGAGCCCATTGTGTGCGATGGTTGGGTGTTTTTACAGCTGTGTAGGATATTGAGGCTGCTGGGTTTGCCTGTATGTGGACCCCTCACAGCCCTCTCCAGCCTGCTGGATTGACACTGCTGAGGTTATAGCAAAGACTATTTCCAGAGTTCAGCACAAGGAAATGGCAGCTGGTGCACAGCCAGTAGCCCTCCTGTAAGGTCGGAGGAGGGCATCCTGCCATGTGATCCCACAGGTGACCCCAACCCTAGGGCTGCAGCGCCTCTTTCTTTTCTCAGTAAAGCTCCCCCTTTGAAGAATTCTGTTGAGACATGTGGAATATAAATGAAGCAGGGAAGATGTGTTGTAGCAAAGGGGACTTCCAGAGGAAATGATGTTGTTTGCAAAACTCAGCGGGGCCTTTCATATTCAGCTAAAGCTGAAATGCAGCAGCAGGAGTTACCACACTCATCTCTCTGGCTTTCCATTTCCACCAGCCCCTAGGGAGGAGAGGAGAGGAAATTCTATGGCAAACTGCTGAATCATCCCAGGGAAAGTACTCTAAATTGCAGAGATTTTCCTCAAGGAAAATCTCATTCCCTCTCTCTCCCTCATTCCCTGAGGGAGAACACAAAGGTAGTCACAAACATGGGAGTAGAAGTGCCAGCTGTTGACAATATGCTTAAAGTGTACTGGTTTCAGAGTTTAACATTAGGTATCTTTATGGGCTGTTTCTCATTGTTACCCTGGGGAAGACCACATGTTCTTAAGGTCTTTTTTTAGCACTTGTTTCAATGAAGGAAATTACTTTACTCAGGGTAATGCCACTGAAGTTATTTTAGGGCACGTCTCTGGGTCATTGACAAGCCCTCAAAGATGCTGACTAACAGTGATGGAGAATTTAACTGTTGGGTTTTTTTATAACTTCCCTCTAACATAGTAGCTGGAGAAAGCTTTTGCTTAACCGTGGGCTTTCTGCTTTTGTGATGCAGGAAGTGCTGAGCAGGTTCACCTCAACCTGGCAGTGGTTATGAGCACTTGTGCCATGCTACCCTGAGTTGACTGTATTTTTTCATGCCACCTTGGATCTGGAAGCATTGCAGCTCTACACAGTGCTGCACTATACATTGAGAGCAGAGCTGGAAGTCCTGGGGAGTGTAGCACAGCACTACCCTGGCTCGTTTCAAACCTAGCCAGCTTGGGACCAGCTCCAGATTCAAGCTAATGAGCTTAAGTGGACATAAGCTGATTCCATATGGAAAAATTATGGATGTCACTTCACTCAGCTCAATGGCATAGCTTATAAAACCTGCTTTATCCCTCTGTTTCTGGTTCCAGGATACTTCAGCCCTTCATTATTCCAAACATAGAGGAAGCTGCTATTGAGCAAAATTCCTGTCAGTTATGTTTGAACAATTGTCGTGTATAATTCTGACTAAATCACATGGTGTGTGTTTTGCCACTTCAATGGATGACTAAATTTTTCTAAATTAGAAGAGCCTGACCAGAATAAGCCATGGCCTACTTTGCCTATAAATACCTGGTTTATCACAGGGAGTGCCAGCCTGATATCTCTGCATACTAAAAGCACTTTAAACAGAAACGAGCAGCGAGAACTGTGACCACATCTGAAGACCCACATCAGGTGTCATGTGGGGTTCAAAACTACTTGCAAACACCTTTGTGGGGAACTTGGTCAGCTCTGCATGCAAGTGGCATTCCCTCAGCCTGGACGTGTCTAGGGCCAAGGGAGCTTTAGACATGAGACTGCAGGGTTGGTGAACTGAAAGTGATGGTGCCATCGACTGGGTGGTCAGTCTGTCACCCTGCCCCTGTACTGGGGAATCTGACATGAGTGCAAGGCAGACCTTCCAGCATGATGCCAGTGTTCATTCTGATACTGAGAGGTGAAAAATGAGAAGGGTTTACACTAACCTGCAAAGGATCACTCGGGTCTGTGTCTTTCCCCCCCTAACACCTCTATCTTTTCAAACAGACAAAAAGAGGAGTGAGTAGTTCATGTGCTTTGGAGAATTTGGGCTGAGGACCTTCTGCTGCCCAAACGAATAAGGTTGTGCAGTCATTCTGCCCACTTTCCTGCCAATGTGTCAGCAGTGCACTCACACCCATCTTAGACAATTTTGACCACACTTGGTAGCAACGTAGGGGTCTCAAGGATGTTAAGTTCTTGCATGTTTTAAAACAGCAACCAGAGAGAAGAGGGACCCAAGCTATAGCTCAGCTGCCTGCATTTTCTGAAAGGAAGTAATTGGCTGGGCAGTCAGCACAGATGGACTGACCATCCATGGATCTGAGGCTTTGCAACATGGGGTGCCATATCTTGGCCAGACAGGGGGGAACAAGAAGGAAACTGGGCCTGTTTGTTACAGTAGAAATTCTAGTCCTCTCTCCAGCTCAGAGCCTTGGTGCCTGAGGTGCTGGTATCAGCGCAGAGCTACAAACAACAAGCTCGTGTTAATTCAGACACATCATCTGACCCAAAGCAACTAAGTACCATGGCTCAACAAGTTATTGCCTTGCAGCTACTCACTAAACCATACTTTGTCCCATTGGGGAGCAAGACCTTCATGTTGGCTTAAGCTGGCTCATTTTAGTGTGCAACTGGGGCAGGCTGGAAGTGTTTGTGCAGCTCGGCTGGGATGTGTTATCTCAGCACATCGTGTTCACACAATTGCTCACAGTCAGGTGATGACACTCTGGAGGAAAATAATTTTTCTCTGGTTGTTTACAACTGCTTATTTGCCTTTGATTAACACTTTTCAGTGAGTATGGAAGAGCAGTTGTTTTAAATATACTTTTGATGAAATTCTTCAATTGACAGCCACAAATTTCCTAATTCATCAGCCAGAAAAGAACAAAGAAAAAAAATGGCAGATCAGACTTTACATTCTTTGGAGAAAGATGCAGGAATGAAATAATAAATAAATGAGCCAGGCTTTTGAGTTTAAAGCTTCTATAAAGGTCAGATCGTGTTTTAAGCAACAAGCCCTTTCTCTGCAGTGTTAGTTTTGTTTTTACAACCCATTCAAACTACTGTAAGCCAGCCAAGTCTTGGGAAATTTCCCATTGTGCAGCCTCAGGGGGCTCATCTCATCATGACAGTAGCTTTAAACACTAACCCGAATCCTCTTTGCACTCACAAGTCCCTGGCTCAAGCGAGGGAATGCTTTTAATTAGCGCTGGCTCGTTTATGTGGGTGCCGATTGGAGCTGGGAAGGGTGGAAAATCTCAGCTACAGTAGCTGGCAGCATGGAGCTGTGTGTCTAAGCATTGTTTTGCTGTGTGGGCGCCTTCATTTGAGCTAAGCTAACTAGGGAAGACTGTAGATAACCCAAGCTGACACTGGGATGAAAGGAAGCTGCAAATCATTTAAACTCAAACAAACAATGTAGAACAAAACAGAACAATGTTATTAGGTCAGATGGAAAATAGCCAGGCTTTGGGTTAAATGCGACAGCCAAAAAAATAGAGGCAGAAATTCATCTAGCCCAAGAGCATAATGAGAGGCTGGGAAACCTAACTCATTATGAATGCCATTGTATCTCAACTGTTCTTTTTTCTTTTCTTTTAATGTTTAGAAGGAAGTAGGGAAAGCCCTGAAAGAAGCCTTTGATATTGGGAAACCCCCTTGTACAGATGCCGCAGTCATTCAGGTAAACGGGGCGGAACCTAAAAGGTCTCACACTTAGGGGCAGTCCTGTTTTTGCACACAAATATGTGGATATTTGGCAAGACCCAGTTTTACATGTCTCAGGCTAAGCTCAATGTGTTAGAAGCTTGCCAGTTAGCTACCATACTTAGACTGTGCCTGTTTGCTCCCAGACCTGTTTTTGTCCTGTGCATAGACAAAGAAAAAAACCTAACTAAAATAAAAATGAGCCTGAGATTAGCTAATTCAAACTGAAGTTGCATTTTCATTTATGCACCTGGATGTTTATGCAACGTTCTGTAAAGTCATCGTGTATGTTAACCACTCTGCTCTCTATGAGTTCTGCAGAGCACTTCTACAAAAGCAGTGAGGGTTGCCAAGCTGTGGCAGGGCCCCATATCTGGCAGTGCAAATGCAGACAGGCTCCCTGCTCCTGTGCTGGGTACAGCTGTGACTGCTGCCCTCATGGGTTGGGTGGTGAGAGGGGATGCTGTAGAGCACAGCAAAGGTGAGCGCTCGAAGGGCATTGCAAAAACACATTCAGCTGATTTATGAGCAGCACATACCACGGCCAGAGGGTGTTTGGATCAAGACCTGCAGAAGGATTAAAACAAATCCTGGAGCTCACATGTAGGCTCAAGTGATGCTGGAGATCAGGGGCAGGATGCGGGCTGCCTCAACTGTATCTTTCTTCTCAACTACCACCACCCCAGTGGCAGTCCTCTTTCAGTTCATGAAAGAGGAAATTAGCTCCATGGTCCTTTGGGATGGCAGACAGCCTCAGGCACTCTATTGGAGGCACTGCAGCTGTCCTTCCTCATGAGGATACAGCTTTAACTTGCAAAAACTAGCTTTTCTGGCCCAACTCAAACCCAGGAATCAAGTGCAGAGCTCACAGCAGGGACTGTTTGCTCCTCGCCTTGCCCTGTGCCCACTGGAGTGGTGGAGCAGTGATGTACCCAGTGATGTATCTGTTCTAGAGTGACTTTTAGCCACCAAGACGATTCATTTTCCTGGTCCTGACTCACAGAGCAAAGGTTTCTAACAGGAACTAGGACAAAGCCTGGTTTGAATCCTGTGGTCCTCATATCTGCAACATCTGGCCATGCTTCAGCATGAGTGGTTTTCTCTGTTGCGTACGAAACTGACAGGTTCAAATGCTCTGGGGTGGGTGATGGAAAAGACTGGATAAATAGGAAACCCTTATGAAATTACTGCCTCCTCAATTTTCACAAGCTGACACTGAAGATCAGATAAAAAATGAACAGGGTGTCATAGAAACTCATCAGCCATGATTTCCTGACACTTTGGGGTGGCATATTTTATCCTGTCCCTCTGGGTGAGCTTTTACATCTGTTGTGAGCAGTGGAAAAACCCATTCATGATGTGAGCCACCCTTTGTCTCTGGATGACGAGCATTGGGAGAGCACAGCCTATGAGGCCATCTGTCTCCTTTTATCCATCTGGCTCTCCTTTCCTTGCAAGCTTTTGTTTCCACAGAGCAACTAATGGGCAGCATTAAGTTGCCACCTGCTCAAGCCTGCCTGATATGGGGTGAATTTTGAGCTGTCTGGCACAGCCCACCTCCTGCAGACACCTGGGCCACCCAGCTGGAGTCAGGGGCAAGACATAACGCCACAGAGTTTAACACACACTGCTGTGTCAGGTGTGAGCAGTGGTGGCTGAGAAGGTGATAGATGCCCTCTTCAGACATCCCTGGTAGAGACCCTGGCAGAGGTGCAGGGCACACAGTTACAGCTGCCTAACCTCTTTTTTAGCAGCTGCCCCCAGATTTATCTGTGAGGGTGAGTCAGGTAGGAGCACAGGTGCTCCTGCAGATGTCAGGTCTTTGAGCTGAGCTGCCAGGCTGGATGTTGACAGCAGAGAACATCTGCAGAGACAGGCTTTCTCCTGGACTCCAGCCTGCTGACCACAACAAAAACAGTGGTAGCAAAAATGTAGGGTCAGGCATTAAAATTTGGCTCCTGAAAAATACTTTTATTTCCACTGTAGCTGTAAGGGCTCTCAAAACTTAAGCAGAAGTTGCTGCCTAGAGGGCAGAGGGATTTGGAGCAGGTGAGCAGTGGGATGTATTCCTGTTCACTGCATAGGTAACAAATGGCTTTGGCCTGCCCTCCTCTCACACATTGAAATCCACAGATACTAACAGAGAAGACAGAGGCTGCCAGGCGTGTCAGCGAGAGCCTGAGTGAGAAGGTGGAAGCTGTGTGCCTGGAGCAGTGCCTGAGGTTCCTGGAGAGGTAAGAAGGCTGCTTCTTTCCCTCCTTGATAACATTCTTAATGCTCAAAAGAAAGAAATCCTTATGTAGCAACTGGGGATGCTGTATTCACCTGGATCTTTAGTTTGATGGCTGTTTCCTGTTAAACTGTTTCTGGATAGACAGCGCTTCACCGCTGTTCCATGTGCTCAGCATTTGCTGTTGGGCTAAAGCTGAGGAGACCAAGAGCATCTGGACTTGCCAGGACAGTTTAAAGCCTTGGGGGATGTTCCGGAGAGACTTAGACCTTAAACACAGCCAGGAAGAGGGGCAGCCACGTAGCCAGAGCCCAGGCTTGGCCCTTCCTTCCCTGGCTGTTCTTCCCAGGCACAGTGCTTCTTGCTGGCTCCATGAGGCGATGAGGAGCTCTGCTTTGTCCTGGTTTCATAGGAGGATGAATGTCTTTTTCTCATCTTCTGCCCTCTCACCACTTCTTCTGACTCCCTTTATCTTCTTTTTGTACTTGGGCATCTCTCACCCTATGCATACCCTGCATCAGAAAATGCTGGTTGTAGGTGAATGTTTCAGAAAGAGGTTTCATTTAAGATCCTTGGCACTCCACATGATGAGAGAAAGAAATTCCTATAAAACAAGGTTGTCCAGGAGCCACTCATGAGATAGAAGCTGCAACAAAGCAGTCAAAAGACTTTGTGGGTTATTCATACATGCTGAGTCTTTGTTCCACAGCTCCATCGGCAAAGCCTGAGTTGCTTCCCAGAAACAGGTTTTGCAGCAACAACAATCGTAAAATGAACCTCCTGCCTCTTGGTCCGTACCAGGGGCATTCAGGCAACTCGAGGGCTCTCCCTGTGCCATTCCTGTGCTCTCCTTCCTCACCAGCTGAGCAGGGCAGAGATTGCCTTTGTCATGCTGTAGATCCCACCTTACAGAGTGAAACTGTACATTGAAAAGACAAACAATCACAGAGTATTTCTCTGGTTTGCTGACAGGCTGCTGCTGTCAGATGCATTATGGAGCATGCCAGATTAAAGATATGTCTTCCTGTTTTAATTTAGCTATGAAGATGAAGTAAGAAGCTTTCTCCAGCTTGATGGCTGCCCACCAATCTGCAGCAGCTTACGAATCCTAGAGAACTGCTGCCTTCTCAGGTTAGAAACCAGAGCCTGGGGAGTGAAATGAGTTTTCTGCTGCCTGATCTCCTTCTGAATCTGCTCTGAGGCCAACCTCGCTTCCAGCTGGATCTGGGCGTTCGACCCTGTGCACACCAACCCTGAAGCACAGAGGGAACCAGCTGTTGCCAGCAAGACCCTGTCAGAGCTGCCCTGGCTGCCCCAGAGAGAGGGAGGCTCAGATGGGGGCTGTGACCTTGGCCAGAGGGCCACGACTGCTGCAGTGGCAGCACTGTGCTGCTACTGCTTGCCAGCTCCCAGGTCCTGCAGGTGCAGGGGCTGTAGCTGGTGATCCGCCATCTCCACCTTCCTGGTGCCCATGGCACTGAGCAGGAGGCTGGCAGCAGTGCTGTGTCACATGTGGAGACAGTATCCCGGCTACCCCTGTCTGTGTTGTGCTGTGGTTCCTTTCACTGGCCTGATCATTTTTCAGCACGAAAGCCTCATGAAGATTGTGCTGAGATGTGTGTGCCAGTGCACTTGGTAAACACAAGCTTCTGTGCTCTGCTGAATGAAGCCCCATGGATCATGCCAGGCTCTCCCTGGGGTTGCTAGGAAGGAGGGAAGCAATAAAGCACAGAAGGGTGGAGGAGGCTGTTTGCACCTATGAGTTAATTTTAGAAGCACTTGCAGCAACGGAGAAAACAAAGTTGCTTCACTTCTTCCTGTGCAAAGTTATTTGGGGATCTCTGGAGTCAGCAAAATGCCAAAATCCAGCATATGCACTGTGATTACTTGACATCAGAGCCTTGTGTTGAGCCTTGGTAGCTGTTTTGTTTGTTTTATTTGCATGTTGCTGATGCTGGATCCCAGACTGCATACTTATGAGTCTCTTTTATGTAATTCTTCACAGTAATCCTGAGAACAAAGTTGTACACTGAACTTTTCCAGATTGTAAAATGTCTGGTTTCAAGCTGGTGATAATTTTAACCAGGATTTGCTGATTTGAAGACTGTTGTGATGGGAGATAATTGTCTTGTATTTGTAGGTTGTCTGAGGTACACAAATGCTCATTCAGCCTCCGTTTGTCAAGGCCACTTCATGCCTACTCATTTTTGAAAACACTAGAATTTTTTACTGATCTGATCTTACTAGTGATGAGTACAAGTGGCATTTGTGTGCATTGAGCTTTCCTGTCCTTGTTGCAGTGTCTTAATGAGAGCCATCCAAAAGATGGGTGCACAAATGTGGGTCACTGAGCTAGCCCTGGACCTGAGCCTATGTCCATTCACTTACCCAGGCAGTTGTATTGGTTACAGTAGGAAGAGTCTTGATCTGAGAGAATAGCCTGATTTGATCTGATCTATACTTTTCATATTTTTTGTTTTTTTTAACAGGACTGTCTGGCTTAAGCTAACATACATTTGCAGTGCCAGCACTAGCCAGGATCTTAAGGTAAATGGATTTCTAGACAGGATGGAAGATGACATTACAGAGCGTTTTCTGCAGACAGTCACTTCTAAAGTCAAGGTAGGGGAGATCTGTTTTAACACTGACTATTTTCAGACTGTAGGGCAGATATGCACTTCAGTGTCATGTCCTGCTTTGGAAAGGGTGAAACCATAGTTTGGTCTTCCAGTCCTAAGTGCTTCTCTGCTTTGTCAGAATCTGTGTACGGACAGCTTCACTTTTCCAGTTTTGGGATCCCAGTTCCATTGTTTGTAGTGTTGCTGTTGTGCTACAAGTAGGCACCCCATGGTGCCTCTAGGAATCCAGACCCCAAGGGCTGAATTTCACCGAGTACCTGCTCATCCTCAGCAGCTAGGCATCTTCTCAGGGCAGTGATAACTCACAGAGCCCAAGGCTGTGCTGAGTAGTCAAGAGGCAGAGAAGACTGACCAGAAATATGTCCCTCCCTTGAGATAAGTTCCCTTCCCTTCACACTTGCCAGTATCAACCCATTAGCCCAGACACCCTTCCGATCCTGGGCTCTGTGTCTAGGGAACACACAATTGCAGGCTCCCCAGTGTGTGGTGTTGTGCATTTCCCTGGGAAACTCCCCTGAGCATCTTCAGGCTCATCACACAAGGTCCCTCGAGTAGGCTGGAGGCAGCAATAGGAAAATGACGAAAGAAACCCTGGCTACACTGTGCAGTTTTGGTCTCCAGAGCTCATTGCCAGCTTGTCCCATGGGCCCACACACTGAGATGGGAACTGGGGATGGTTCTGACAGGGAGCCTGGACAACCCTGGGAAGAAACAGGAGAGCTAGGGCTCAGGTTTTCAGTCTTCCAGGTTTGGACTTAAGAACTTAGTACATCCTTCCTGAGTTTGAATTGTTTCTTTCTTTTATGTTTTGCTTTTCTTTGAAGTAAAGGCACAGGATGCTGCAGCTTGTGGAGGAGTCTGTTTCCGAGATCAGAAAGAGCAAACGCACAATAATCTGTGTCTGCTGACTGTGTGGTGTCTCTACATGTGCACTCTTTGACTCTGTTTGTGCCTTTTCCTCAGGGAACACTGAAGAATCACTTCAAAAAGTGTGACAGTGGTTTTGGCCACATTCTGGAATCCTTAAAGCAAAGCTTTTTGGCCTTTGGGAAGAAACAAACAGATATGTATGAGGTAAGAAATAAGTAAGAAAGTGAGAAAGAGATGTTACTTAGGAAATCACTAAAACTAGTCCTTGAACCTCTGGATGGAGCAGTATTTGAACATTAACCCAAACTGCAGTTTTGTCTGATGTCAGAAGGGCTTTTAATTATCTAGTGGTCTCAGTCCAGTTCCTCCATCCAACAGAGTTGGATAGTGACATCTGAGACCTTTCTGTTATCACAGCAGAGAAACCAGCAAGTGAAGAAATGTGGAAACTGAATGTACCTCCTAAATACAAAGGGGGAGCATTGGGCCATCTCTGATCCTACCATTGCCACAATACCATTATACTGGCAATTCTCAGCTTCTAATGTGCTTCAACCTTATTTGTAAGGAATATTTGTCCCTTTGATGGAGGGAGGACACAGAGGAGTGAAATGTCCAGATTCCTAAAGGACACAGAGGGTTGACAAAGAAAAACCTCACGAAGAGCCCAAGATTTTTCACCTTTACAGTGGCCTAAATAATTTGTCTGGAATCTTACAACGCCTTTTGAGTCTGTCTCTTCAGCAATGAGTTTGGTACCTGGGGAACCCTCTTTTGTATTCAGGCTGGATTTGCTGCTGCTACCTGTGCCACGTATGTCCCTCTAAAGCAGAGGGCTCTCAGGTCTGCAGTCTCTTTGTCAGTGATTTTAGTTAGCATTTTGCAATGTGGAAAAAGCTAATAGAAGATAAAAAAATAGGAGCTATTCTGCTGTTGTTCAGAGCCTGTCACTGGACATTATGTCACATTAGTGCTGGGGCAAGCAGCAGCTTGGTGGCAAAACACTGTGCCAGAGCTCTCTGTCTCTTGCTTTGTCTGTTCTGGACAGAGCTGGGGATTTCCTGTACCCTTGGACTGCAGTCTAAAACTGCTCTCATTTCAATTGCTAATGAAGTGTGGCTTCTGTGCAGCAGCCCCTCTCCCCTTAGAAATGCTCTTCAGCCCTTTGAGGGGCTCCACACTGGAGTTCCTCAGCCCATAGGAGTTCCTCCACACTGGAGTTCTCAGGGTGACTCAGAGGGAGATACCAAGTGACTTCTCTGTGCTCAGCCAAGGGTATGGCCCTGTGTCCAGTGTAGATGCTCCAGGGAGACTGGATCTGGCTTTGTCTGTAGTCCAAGCTGTTGCCAGGTGATGTGTTTGTTAGCCATACCAAGTATCACTGCAGCTCTGGAGCGTGAGTGACCTCTGGCTGAGGTAACTGGTTCCACTGCTTTTGCTCCACATTTACCATCAGTGTTTATGTCGTCCCCATGCAGCTTGGAGCTACCCCACGTGTTAGACCAAGCATTTTAAAGGGATACCTAAGCAAAGAAATGAGACAGCCATCTGCATGGACACTATATCCACTGTCTGCACTGCTCAGAGTCCTGTAGGTATGGTCTGGTTCTTGCTTAGTCCAGGGAAGTTAATCTGTGTGTCTTTGCTCTGGAACAGGCCCTCGTCCAGGCTGTCAATGCCATTGTTATTACAGAATATGTGCAGGCTCTCCTGACCACTCCCAGGAAACCATCTTCTGTGCAGAGGAGGAAGGTTGTCAACAAGATAGAAGAAGATCATAGGATGATGCAAGCCATCTTTAAAGAGTGCTTAGTAAGTCTTTGATATGGTTACAGTTTTGCTCTCTTGTCATCAAGAATGGTACCAGCAGAAGAAAAGACTCTGAAAGCAATAAAAAAGCTTAAGAGTTTTTACTGCAGGGGTATCCAGCTTCACAGAAATGACAGTCAGATGTGCTGACGGCACTTCTGATCTGCCAGAAGCTGTTAGTTCATGGTTTTGAAATGTGTGACTGGAGGAGGCAAGTTTCACACTCCTGCCACTGACATAAAAATGAGGCGTGCTCCTCTGAGCTGGTGAGACAGCTCCAAAGCTGTCAGCTCCCCCCAGCAAGCCTTGGGTATGTGGCATGGAGGGGCAGCACTTTCCTTGAGCCTCTTGAGTGATGAACCAAACTGGCTGCTCCACATCTTCACCTGCTCCCGTGGATTGCCCTTCCCGGCTGCTCCTCCCTGGACATGGGGTGTGCACTGTTATACATCCAGCCTCCTCCCGCCCCGCAGGCCCTTCCCAGCCCCTCAGATCTGGGATGATGGCTGTGTGAGCCATTTCCCTCTGCTGCAGCGTTTCCCCACAGGCAAAAGCATGCTGATGCTGTTGTGGTTGGTGACAGCTGTGGGGAGGAATGAGTCTTCCTGCAGGGTTAACACCTCACAGCACTAAAAGGTAAAGGTGCATTACAGAAGGGATAGATTAGGCGTAAAAGCAGAGCCACGCCTCTGAAGTAAACCTGTGGCAAAGTGCTAGGTCTGATTTGCAGAAACAACTTCGGAAGCTTAAAAAAGCTTCTTTGCTCAATTCATAATCTGGTGTAATTGGCAGTGCCACACACGGCATCTGCGGATGCCACCAGGCTGTCACATGGGTCCCTTGATTACCCAAGGACAAGGACTGCAATGGCAGCAGCATCCCCTCCTGCAGCTGCTCCAGTTGGAGAATCACTGCTGTGCAATGTCCCTGGCATGGCTCATTAGCAAGTGCAGGCTGAGAGTGCCTAGGCATAGTGCTTTGTAAGAGGCTGGGCTGAGCAGCACAGTGGTACTGGTTGCAAAGTCAGTCTGGTAACAGGACTCAGATGTGACAGAGCTTATAAGCCCCCTTGGCTATACTGGTTTTAATAATTTCACAAATTCTGAGTAATTCTCACAGCTTGTCAATTTAAGTGCTAGGGACTGAAAATCTATTTTCTCACAGATGAGTCCCCTGCAAGTAATTTGTCAGCAATTCTTACTTTGTCCAACGAATAAAATGAAATCAAAATGATCGTCTGTAGGCTTCTCTAAAAACCTCTCTGAGCTATTACAATTAATGCACTAGTTTCATGGTGGAAAGCTGGAAGCTGCCAGTGCTTTTAGCTGAAGACCCACCTCCCCTGTAGTGATCAATCACAAATGAGTCAGTGCTTTGAGCAATCAAGCCATGGGGAATAGCAGGAGGGTTCTCTAATCTTAACTCTGAAGTTTACCAGTAATGCTCTGCTCAGCACTAGCTTTGGCTGCAATATGCACAGAAAGCTGGTTTTACAGTGCAGAGGAAATACAGGAAATCTAATTATCTATTAAGACCCTACATTTAGCTTGGGTGGAAAGTCTGCATCCGGTTACCCTGTGTGCCCAGTCTGTGCACTTTCTTACTTGAGGTGGGAGCACTGAAAACCTTGGGAATGAAATGCATGAGCGATTTGCAGGGGACAGCCTGATCCTCAGTCAAATGAGGCACACAGTTATGCATGCAAAATATGTACTCTACTGCAGACTGAATTTATTGTGCAGTTGCTGCACAGGCTGCACCTGCTCTCTGCCCTGCTATCACCTCTCTTCAGGCTCTTCCTTCCCCCTCCATCCTCAAAACACATTAGGAAATACCTTCCTTCTCTCCTAAGAGCAGTACATGTCAAAGGCACTTAAACGCTGCTGACAAGACACCTCTTTTTTTTTTTCCTTTTAGACTGTAGGCTGTTTACCTCTGACCTTGCTTGTCTGTATAGTGCTTAACCAAATCTGACGCCTTCAAATTAATTAGCATTTTGTAATAGTAAGCTTGCCAAGTATGAAGCTGTACAGTACTGGTGCCTCGGGAGCCGAGTACAGCTTGTGCACTGAGCCGAGCTAGGCATGCTGTGTGTCTGCAGTGCAGAGGAAGAGGGGGAAGGCTGTCTTCAAATATTACTATTATTTTTAATTTATGTTCAGTGCGGAGGTGTCGCATGGAGAATGTGACCTGCTCTTCCCAGTGCCCCGTGGAGATCAGGGGAACCTGGGCTTCTCCTGCCCCAGTTTGGCATCCCATTCTCCAGGTTTGCTTTGTCACAGAGTCTCTGTTGATGTGGTGGCATCAATAATTCAGGGAAGCAATTTAACTGTATTATGGCACTGACGAAAAATGTGAGCGAGACCTGAAGCTCTCTCTTGGCAGTTCATCTGCATTCTGCTTCTCCAGCTTTGCTGAAAATGCTGTGTGTTTTTTGATGAGGCTTTTTTTTCCTCCTGTGTGCTCCAGATTAGAGGGAGCTGATCATATGCAGCATCTACCAGTCATGTCATATTATTTACACTCTTCAGCCCTGCTTCCCTTTTTTTCTGTTAGAGGATCTGTGCTCCCTCATCCTCTCCCTGAAGTCTCTTTTCTGTCCCTGGGCTTGCTTTGGGGCAGCAGAAATGCCAACATGTTTGGCCAACAGAGCTTGTTTTCACATAGGCCAAGCAGAGGGCTGTGCTTACCTCTGGAAGCAAAACGCTCCCCAAAGGGTGAAATGGTCTTGAAAGGACAGGCAATTTAGAGAAAAATGAGGCACATTTCCTTCGCCAAAGTAAATGCAGGAGGGGATTCTGCACTGCTGAATGTAGTTGCCCAGTCACCCTGGAAGCAGTCCATGACTGCTCCCCAGTTTCTCTTCTCCTACCCTGGGCGCAAACCAGGTTTCTATACATGCATAGACAGTCCAGCAAAATTCCTGACTCACACAGAGAGATATCCAGTCTGATATGAGTCCGGCTCTTAACCCTGTGTGCTGTTGCCCTTGCCCTGAACACACCTTTGCTTCTTTCCTCAGGGTCCTGCAGCTGGTCCCCTCAAGGATCCCATAAAAGCAATTTTAGAACTTATTCAAGCTTCCGATGCGGAGGGGATGGAAATAGCTCTTCTGCCCATTCTCAAAGAATTTCCTGAGCTCAGGTAATGTCTTTTGTTTGTCTGTCTGCTGCACTTTGACATGATTAGCTGACACCAGAAGACCTACAGCAGTATTAGTCCTGTGATACTTTTTGCAGTGTGCTGGGCCAGACACAATGGCCACCTTTGAGTGTACTCGGTGCTGCCCCTTTGCAGATGCTGATTAACACAGTTTATAACTTTGCCAGATATGAACTGGTGGAGCTGAGATGTACTTCTGTAAAGGTGAATGATGGATGAAATGGCTGTCAACAAAAAAGAAATGCTGTTGGAAAATGCTACCTGAATGGAGAATTTACAGGCACATATGTGTCAAGTGTAGGTTTCAAAAATATTCTTAATTCAGGCATTTCATAACTTCCAAGCACTTGGCTTTTGGCTTCAATACTTTACCAATCCTTGTATAACTGTTTCCACAAAATTCCAGGTGCATTCAACAAGAATATACACTTCCATTTCTTACAGGAAGCTGTAAACAGAAATGAAACACAACTTTTACTAGGAAGGTGAGGTCTTAGCTAACTGCATTTGTTCCAAGGTCTGTGGTTTATTACATCTATCTTTTGTTCTGATGTGCTGTGCAAGTGATTGTGTTTTTCCAACCTAACATGATTGCAGTGAAGAGCTCTCTGTCATAGGATGCTGTGAAGGTCAAAAGTGTGAATAGTTTCAAATGGGGAGCGGACAATTTGTGGTAGATAATTATTTTAGTGCCTATTCAACATGATAGTCATGATATAACCCCCAGCAAGGGAAGTCTCTGAATTGTAGACTGCCAGAAGCAAAGAAAAGAAAAAAGACAGAGAGATCTTGTTGTGCTTCATCTGGTTTCTGTATTCTTTTCCTAAACATTTACTACTTTTAAAGATGCTATTGAGCTAAAAAGCTGCATATCTGATACAGGATAGTGATTCTTACTCTCTTACAAACATACATAAATAATATATATATATAGTATAGGAAGTGGGCATAGGAAGTACTCAGAAGACCCAGATCTCAGAGGAGGTCATCCTGGTGTGAGTGGATGCACTGTTCTTGATTACAACAGATTTCTGTGTGTTTAAAACTGTTTGACTTGGATACATTTGCCTTATATCTAATATGGTGCTGCTCAGTGAAGCAACGCTCTGTAGAGCAAAAATGCTATAACCTTCCAGATGAACAAGAATTAGTACCATTTGAGGGGAGAAAAGATGTCAAAAATGCTTCCAAATGGTCAAATGCAGAGTTATCTGAAACCTATTATGATAGATACAAGTATTTTTCTCGGAATAACCTGAGTTGAAGGTTTCCACAGCTTCACAGGGATGCTGTGTGCCCTGGGCTTAGGATCCGTGAGCTCAGCCACGTCCCAGACAACCCTTGTGATACAGCCTCCTCCTTCTTAGGTAGCCAGCAGGTGTCAGAAAGCAGCTCAGCAGCTTCCAGTCTTTGGTCGCATCCAGCAAAACTGAGTAATAGGAAGCAAGGTTTTTTTCCTTGACTCATTTGCTGACCTGCCCTCTTACCCTTTTGGAAAGGAAGGAACATCTGAGTGCGGTGCTGGACCTCAAAGACTCACTCGGCCGAGAAGACAGAACTGCTCTCTTGAAGGCATTTGAAGATAATTGCAGGGAATCAGAAACAGAAGCAAACTTACTTTTTGCAGATATAGAAGTAAAACCTAGAAAATATGGGCTCTGTGGCTGCCTCTGCTGTTAGCAAAGGTAGGTGTGTATGTGTGCTTATGTGTAACATGAATACCTGTACAGGTGCAGGCATTCCTGCTTACAGGGAGGTGGACCAATGATGGCTGTAACATCACCACCTCAAGGTCCTCATTGCTCTATATGCTGGCTCTACTTCCCTTTCTCCACCTTTAGACTTCCACGTCATGGAGGATCATGTTGTAGGCAGTGCAGGGTGCTGAATGCTTAGATGTGTGATTAAGGTTACAGAAGGGACAGAGGAGAAGACAGGGCTCTTCCTCCCCATCTTTCACTCCTGTCTGTGTGTTCCTGCAGCAAAGTCTCTCTGCAGCATCCTCTCCCTCCCAGCTCTTACCCTCTGCATGGACAGGGTCTCCCAGGCAAGTGCTGCTGCCTCCTGGTAGGGCACACCAAGGGATCTTCTTCTCAGTGGTCCTCCTGCTTCCCTGGTGCCGAGGGGAGGGATGTGGGAGCCCCAGCACTGCCCCCTGCAGTGGTGACAGCTGCATTAATTGAACCAGACTTGGCCCTGTTTAAGTGACTGTGCCATGCTGTGAAAACCAGAGGGAAGTGTGCCCCCTCCATGCTGGCAGCAGCAGCTGGTGGCAGAAGGGAGGAGAGTTAAATCAGAGGGATGATTGTCACTGTGAGGTGTTAAATCTCCCAGCGTGAATTGCCAGTGCTCATTTGGAGCACCTGCAATTGCCTTTCAGTCTCCCAAGGGACTCCTTCCTAGTCACAAGCTGGGCTTTTTTTTTTTTTTTTTGGGTAAGTTGAAGCAGTTCTTGAAGCTGAGCAGTTCCTCATGGTTTTAAAATACTCGTTAGTGGAGAACATGCAGATATTTTCTTCACTTTAAATAATCAGCAACTTCTTTTTAGTCCAAATTTATCCAGCTCAGAGCCAGAGAATTTTGTTTTATCTTGGCCAGGTCAGATCCCTTGGCTACCAGAAATAGTCCCTCTCACTTTAATATCTACAGATTGTCACCAGTCACCTTCTGTTGGATAAGCTGACTAGTTTGAGTATCTCAGGTTGAGAAGCACAGTCCCTTTCCACCTCCCGCGCTCTCAGGTGTCACCGTTTATTTATAGTTACCCATGTTAGCAGATCAGGGATGAGTTATGCAGGGCTCTGACCTGGGGCCTCAAGGCACAAGCAGACAGCAGGCTGTCCTGGTAGCAGGGAGAGAAAGCAATTAGAGAAACAATTAATAAGCACACAAGCTTCCCCTTCTTAATGAAAACTGATTCTGATATAATGAACTGGCTATCAGCCACCCATTTTTATACCCTCCTTTAAAGAAATTACCCATGGTGTCACCTTTGCTTTATTAAAGATATCCAGGAACATGTTTTTAAAACAATGTAAGTCACTTAATCTCCTATTTTGTGAAGTCTCCTGGGCAAATAGGCTCCCACATCTCAGCAGACCAGGCTGAGTCTGCACTGCAGTGAAAGCACATGTGTAGCACAGGTTGGTCAGCTCACCTGAGCTCAGGGGTACTAGAAATGGTGAAATTATGGGATGCACCACCTTCTTTCTTCCATTGCAGCCCTGGGATTTTGCTGCCATGCTCTGGGGTGTGACCTGTAGGTACTTTGGGAATCAACTACTTTCTCCTCATCAGGAACACATTTGTCCCCTCTGTATACGGAATTGGGAGGACTTGGAAAAAGTGCTAGGTTTGGTTGTTTCGTGTTTGCATGAAATGTCCTTCCAGAAGAGGAGTGAGAAGGTTTGTCTAGATAGGGCAGGCAGCAGGGATGCTGCCTATGACTATGGACCCATGGATTGTGTAGCCCAGGAACTGGAGAATTTCAGCAGGTGAATGTCAATACATCTTCATGCAAGAGTCAGTGCATAGGAGGGATGTTTCAACTGTTTGACTCTCACACGTGTTCTCACAAGTGTTATTTTATTACCCAGATTTTTTCTTGCCTTCCCTCAGGCCTGCTGTGACAAACGTGAAGCCTTGCTCCCATGTGGCAGCATCTGCAATCACAACTCCTTGAAAGCATCAGGGACCCATGCAGCTGGACATATGGAGAAGCCTGTCAGCTATGGAAGACACAGTTCCTGCATTTTTGCAGGAAAGCCACGTGGCTCAAATCCTAATCTTCTATGCAAAATCCAGGAGGGAGATGGATGGGATATGGCAGAAAGACATTCCTCCAAAATTTCCTAGAGATTGCCACTTAGCTGAGTCCTAGTAGTTATTCCCAGGATGTGGCATTGTGGCATGTGTGAAGGAGGAAGGTTCACCCTTACCAAATTTCTCTCTGTTTCCATCCCTTGTTTCCTGCAATCTCACATGAAACCAGGGACTGCTGCACCACACGTTGTCCTAGTGTTGCAACCTCCTGAGGGACTTGGGATCCTCTTGGGGAATCCTGCCTAGCCCATCGTGCTGGGAGTGCTTGCTGGTCTGGGCACCTTGATCCACCCCCCCGAAGCCTGACCCATACCAGGAGGGGTGCAGACAGAGCTGCCTCTCCCCTCACTCACAAAGGCTGTGACCTGCTTCGGGGGCAGCCTGCCATGGTGGGCTGTGGGATGGGGAGCACTTCCTGTATGAGTTTTACAGCTGGCTCTGGAGCATAGTCTTGCATTCATTTTTATCCCTTGGTTACTGGAAATTTCCTCTTGGAGAGGGAGGAGAAAGCCTCATGGGAAGCAGGCAGTGAAAGGAGCTGTTTGTCCGAGCCTTAGGGCAAGGTCTCTGCTAGTTTTCAGATGTAAATAGGCAGTTCTGACAGGAAAACACTGACTTTTCTTCCCAGTTATCTATGGACTGGTCACAACCTCCAAGCTGGATGTGGTTCAAGGCCCTCCTTTGCTATTGTGTGAAAACAGGCCATTAATGCTCCTCTCTGACAGCATAAACAAGCAAAAGAACTCTGCCTCATATGTGCCAGTGCTTTTCTGAGCTGCCATTTTCCCTCGAATCTGCTTCCCTAACAAGTAAAGGGGAAAATCTGTGCATAACCTGTCAGTGTGTGAGGCAGCAGATGTGTCATGCCCTGGGACCCAGGGAAAGCGCAGACCTGGTGGGTTCTGCCACGTTCTGCGGTGCTGTGCCACCATCCCAGGGGCACAGGTGTCCCAGCTCAGGGGCAGCTTCTCTGCCCAGAGCCCTGGGTGCAGATGGGGTCCTGTGAGCTCTTCAGGAGCCAGGCAGGTTTGTAATTGTCACTAGCTTTGCACCTGGTGCAGTGCTGAGCGTGGCAGAGCAGCAGGAAGGAACAGGCTGCTCCATCTCCAGGGAGTCCTCTGTGTGCTTTCAGGGCCCCATGAGACCTTGGCATCGTTACACTGCGTCCTTCATGTCACTAAAGGGCAGTGAGAGCATCCCATGGCCTGAATGCCCTTCCTGACTGCATGGCTGCTCCAAAGTCCAGTCCTGGTGTCCCTCACGTTTCATAGCTGTGCATTACAGCTTCAGTGAGACCTTTCCTGGGATGTGGGATGGCTGGGGGAGCTGAGGCAGCTGCAGCCTGGACAGGTGGGCACAGCTGGGCTGTGGGGCTGAGTGGGCACCTGTCCTCCAAAGGGTGCCAGCCTTGCCAGGCACACTGGGCCAGTCACCCTCCCCTCCTGACGAATTGCACATTTTTTCAAGGGTGGGAAGGGATGACAGACCTGCATGACAGACCCTATTGTGACAGCAGGGTCAAGGTCAGCCTCTGCCAATGGGAATTTCAAGCAACAAGCCTTCCAGAGGAAATAAATAAAAATAAAAGCCCCTCTGACATTTCAGTCACCATTGGGCTAAAAATAATGCCACAGCACGTGGACGGCTCTGACCACATACGTGTCAATGTCTATGTATGTCTCTGCCATTTGACATCCACAGGCAGGCGAGGGTATATTCCACTTGGAAGCAGCAGCTGGGAGCTGTGAGGGACGCTGGGCTCGCCACTGCTGTGTGTGGAGAAACACCCCTTTCAATGAGGCTTTGTAGCAGCAAGTTTATGCACATTGTGTGTAGCATCCAGTCATGGAGAGACTGAATAAAGTCCTGAGTTTGTCCATGAGGCTTAGTGCTGATGGCATATGTGAAGTTTTCCAGAGCCAGAGGGCTCAGAGAGTTGGCTGGGGTGGGGCATGGGCAGTGATGGGGAGAGGTGGCCTGGTGTGGAGGCAGATGGTGTGGGAAGGATGTCCTCTGCCACCTGCAAGTCACCTGAGGGGAGCAGATGGTGTGTAGGGAGTTTCCTAGTGGATCCCCAGGAGGGGAAGCTGTGATAAGGGGACGCTGGGTCACTCCCTAGGACTGTCTGAGGTGATCAGGGAGGGGAGGAAAGGCTGTGGGGAAGGAGGATGAGGGATTTTCCTTGTTTGGGGGGATTTTAACCCACTTTGTTTTGTGACCTGACCTTCTCAAGTGATCCAACCTCCTACTTTCTAGCCTTCACCCTAGGCTGGGGTTAAACCGCTTGTGTGGGATTTGTGCCTCTCTGCAGAGGGCTGCGAAGCAGGGTCACACTCAGGACTACCTTGTGGCCTTGGGATGTGGGCAGGGGCAGCCCTGCCATTGCCATCAGCCTGCCAGGGCCACCATGGAGCTGTGCTGCTCATCTCCCACTTGGCCCTGCATCCAGTGACTCCACCTCTGCGAGCAGGACAGGATCGCTCAGAGCTCAGCACTCAGAGACTCCCTGCATAAAGTTCCCCTCCCATTCCTTTGGGTTTCGCTATGATCCCCTTGGCACAAGGGTCATGCCACTGCTATGCTCACCAATCATCCAGACGTGCCAGCCTTGGTGATGTGGGCATCGGGGACTTACGTGCTGCTCTTGGTGGTTTAATGCTTCAGCTTTTTTGGGAGCTGTGCTCCATTTATCACCTTTCTGGCTCTGCACTGGGCCGGTTGGGTGGTGAGCAATGATTTGTCACCCATGTACCCCACACTGCTTGGGGCCAGGGTTTGTCTGGCTGCTTTGAAGTGCAGCAGAGCCTCGCCAGCCACTCCTGTCATTTGAGCTCCTGTCTCTGAGGGTCACCTTCAGTGCTTAATGCTGAAGACAGTGGAAAACAGATCCTCCTTAATTATGCTGCAAGGTCTGAGGAAAGACCTGACATTTGCTGAGGTGCCACCTGCGTTTTCCTGGTTTACTTAGTGTCTTTGCCAAGGATGTGACAGGGAATGGAGGGCTTGATGGTGAAAAATACAGGTAATGAATACTCTGGGACATGCTGAGCTCTGTTGGATATCAAATGTGCATGAGGAGAATCAATCCCTAAAACTATGAGATCTCAGGGAAGGCAAGCCACTTGCTGATTCCAAAATTATATAGTAAATTGAGTTTTATTCCCTTTCCTCCCTCCTCCCAAGGGAAGCCTGTCAATGGTGGAAGCTCAACCACTGATCCCAATATTGATCAGAATAACTTTCACCCACGTTTGAGAGTTTCCTCTCCAACACCCAGCAGGGAGTGATGCCTAATCCATGGGTGGGGAAGGCTGTGTGTGGGATAGGCAGCATGACAAAAGCCATCACGGGTAATTCCCCCCAGCACAACAATGAAGGTTTGATTTTAAGTCTTAAATGTCTTCCTTTACCCCAGCACACCATGGTCCCTGTGGAAAGGAGGAGCAGGAGGCATCCACCTGTGCAGCAGTCTCTGGCTCTGTAGCATGGGCTAGGCTGGATCCCTCCAGTTTCCCTCAGTGGCCCTGGGGACACCCGGACTGGGAAGGGTACACAACTGGTGCCATCTAGTGGCACCGGGACACCGAAAGGGCTGCGGCTTTTTTATTTGTCTTATTTGTGTTATTATTACGGGATATTACAGGGGAATATGCCTGTGTGACCTATTAGTCGTGTGGACTGTGAGAGGCCCCTAACCAGGGTGTGAGACTTGCGGGACAACAAAAAGTTGGGAATTCTGGTGTAAGTAGGATACACAGAGCATGTAGATGTTTCTTCCAGCCAAACAACCAGCAGTTTTATGGGAAGATCATAAAAGACAGTGATGAACAGAAGTGTTGGGATGTGCCCTGTGCTTTATAGAAACAGCTGGAGCTTGTGAGCGCAGAGGAGAGGTTGGAAGGCAGCACTGAAGAGCCAGGACCCAAGGACATAATTTCTTCCTGCTCCACAGCAGCCAGGGTTCCTGCTGTGGGGAGTAAAGGGCTTTAGGATAAGGTTTTAGTTGGCTGAATCTAACCTAAGGCCCTATGGGCACCAGACGACGGGTTTCTGCCCTCACCTCTGGATGCCTCCCCACCACCTTCATTGCATTGGCTGTTGGGGTCAGCCCCACCTGTGTGACAGAAAATTAACAGCCCAAATAAATAGTTCTGCATGGGTTTGCCTCTCCTCTTTGCTTCTCAGGAGCTCTGGTGCTATTACCTCCCTCCAAACTCCAACTTCCAGCTCCACATCTGCTGATTCTCTGTCTCCTACCACTATCCTGGTTTTCAGCCTGGTCTCAGCTGTCTTCCCCAAGCTGTCCCATTGCCCACTCTGTGGGCTGTGGTGCTGCCTTTGCCTGCCTGTCCTGTCCAACTTGGCTCACACAGCCTGTACAAGGGCATTGCATATTGTCCCAATGGGCTGTTCTAAAAGGGGTGCCAGTCTGCCAGCAATTAAAATAAATGGACTGGGTCTAAAACAGCTGCTGGGAAAATCCCTTGTTTCAGGGCTGGGACAAAGTATTTGCAAGAGCAGACTGTCTGGAGTGGTTTGTTATATCATACATCCTTACAGGGTCTTGGAAAAAACATAAAGCAACTCTTGATTCACAAATGAGTATCAGATTTTTTTCCTTCACTGGATTCTACCCTCTAAACTTCTCCATGCTGATCTTTTGTGCCTAACAAAATGGGCTTGTACTATTACAAATGATGTAATTTTATTCCCTTCCAGACTGCCCAGTGCTGAGAAAGATCCAGATCTCCATTCCCAGACACTTGCTGCAGCTCCTGATGCTGCCACATGGTCTGTGGGCCACTTTACTCATGTCTGCTGGGGTCTCATTTGGCATGAACCAAACTTCAGAGAGAGAGGAGGGTCTGAGAATGGGAAGGATAAGCCCACGCTGAGGTGTTGCAGCTCAGAAAGGAGCTGGGGTAGATGCTAAGCACGAGGTCTTCATTAAAAGCTCTGTGGGAGAAGGGGGAGAACACTTCTATGCACAGGCTGAGGGCTGTGCTCTGCCTAGTGTGAAGCACCCATGTAGAGATCGGTGTGGGGAACTTTTGATGCTGCACGGGACAGCATTTTGCAATCCTGACATGTCTGTGGCCCTGCCTTTGCTCCACAGGTGATGACATACCATGAGTGTCCTGATGTGGGTGGCAGCCACTGTGCAGCTGTGGCCACCAAGGGCACCCTCATCCTCTCAGGTCTGAGCTTCTCATGGGTGTCTCCTCTGCAGCTTCAGGCAGGGCTGCTTGGTCCAGACACCCAGGGGCTGGTGTGGGGCTGGTCTGTCAGTGGAAATGGGTGTCTGGGGGCTGCTCCCTGCCCTGGTGCCACTGTGGTAGCGGTGGTATGTGGGCAGGAGGCTGAAGCACTCACTGCAACAGGCAGGACACAGCCACAAGTGCAACACTTGTCTGCAGCTTGGTCCTGTGCAGAGTAGGGGACAGGAAAGTGCCCATTCCTCCACTCTGTGCTGTGACCTGCCTGCCCTCAGAGATGCCTCAGCTGCTGGGGCAGCTGGACATCTCCTGGCGTCCCTGACAGTGTGTACCCCTGAGTGTGCACTGGTGATGAAGGGCTGACTCAGGCCAAACCCATGAGGTGATGGCCTCAGGGGCCTTATTATAGCCATGGTTCATGGCTCTTCCAGGATGAATGGTCCGTGGCAGGTAGTACAGGTGCCTGGGATGTGGTCTTGGGCTGCTTGCTGGCAGACACAGGTGATGGGCTCTGTCAGGTCTCCTTTGGAGCAGCAGCACGAAGAAAATTGCAAAAATGGAGACCTCCCCTGCCAAGGCGATCCTGGGCAGGGGGTGCTGCTGCCTCCCCTCCCCATCACTAATTCCAGCTGTCAGTAGGGTCTGGTGTGACCCCTTGGCCCTGCAGCAGCAGGTCCCCTGGCAG